AAGGCATGCCAGTGGACAGATATATATATATATATATATATATATATATATATATATACATGGGAGCACAGTCCAAATATGCATGGGCGAATTCCGATTCAAGTCTGAGCGCGTTGAACTGAATGGGAGAAAGTCCTAATGAGCGTAAAATTAGCGCGGGTGGGGTAGGGATGGGGGGTGGGGGTGGGGGGGGGTTTACAATTTTAAAAAAGAATTACGAAAATAACCTCATAAATGGCATTATATGACGCGGTACGATCACACCCTCATGGAATTTTTTTGACAAACCCCTTATTAAATTCAAAATCTTTTTTTATTAATATAAATTAATCAAGTTTTACTATTATACCCCTATCTTAATCTATTGTATCATATAGTTGGAAACTTGTATTTTCTCCATAATTAAATTAATAAGGTGTTCTCTTATTACTAGTAAAGATATCAATTCCACAAATATCGGTCCTTAATTTTAGACGTACCGTTTCGTAAAAGTGGGAGTTTGAATTTCAAAAACGGCTCCACACTGATATTGTGTTCCGACTTCTGAGTAGTGGAGGCAGCGCACTGATTCTACAGAGTGGTTTTCACTATAATTCACTGATTCTACATAGTGATTTGCATAAATACTTATTGTGCGAATTCAGTGCGTATTGATCTGGAGTAGAAGGACGACGGTCCGACTATAGACCGGGAGGATGATGATTATGTTAAATAATTTACGGAGTTAATCTAATTTTCCTTTTTTTTTTCTAGCCTTTTGGGTCGAACTATTTTTTTTTTATTCTTTTTGAAATTTAGTTGTTATGTTTTATTTAAATTTTAAAGCATATCACGGGTACCAGCCAACTTAATATATAGTTACTAACTTACTAGTATTGTAAAATTATTTTAGATATATGTTTGTCCTAATTGTGTATTAAAGCATGTCACCTTTGTGTTTGTAAATTGAGTGTGAATCCTTCTTTTGGTGCAGATTTTTCCTTAGGCTTATAAATGAACTATATTAAACCAAAGTGCATGAGGATGTAATTTTTCTGAACTTATTTTTCGCACTGAAACGCCAATCCAAAACTAACCCAAAAAAAAATTGTTATAGTTTTCGATATAATTGAATATTTACAATATAATGAGTTCCTCGATGGTTTACTTTTCGGTGTCGATTTTTGTACCATCTTGTCGTTGAAAGGTCAACAGTTTGTATATGAAAAACTTGCAAACATGTCAGATTAAAACTTGGATAACAAATGCCATGATAATTTGGGGTTGCTTGGTGTTGTATCGGTTTGCGACGTCGAACACAAAAATTGGGGTTTAATTTACATGCATTGCTACATTAATTAAATTTACGATTCAAATCAATTCGATATATATAAATAATCAGATATGACATCAAAACTCCGTGTAGTAACATATATAGGTTTGAAAGTCCGATATCATCTTCTAGAAGATGTAACTGTTAGTTTCATGCATTATTGATTATGAAAAGTGGCGCAAGTTGGATTTTACAATATATTTATTTATATGGATAGGATAAATTAATTAATGCTGTCCATAAAATTAAATGAGAGGTCAGATTATTTCTCTCGTGCCTTAATTCTCATTTGTTTCGAATATCCTTTTCCATATCAATTATGTTTGATTAATATATTTACTCCAAGGTTTTCTTTTGGTTGGGAACATATATCAGAATTAATATCTTACTTTAGGCATAAATTGTTGGTTAAGAAAAGAGAGCAGTTTGCTAATTAAACACCCCTCGACACTAATACTCTTTTAAATCAGAACATAATTATATTTTACTAAAAAGTTCATCGAGCATGTTATTTAGAGAGCTTAGACTGAAAATAACTTATTGCAATTTCTCCAACTCATATGCCATACAAAAAGCATACACTTAAAAAAATGGCATTTCATCCACTATTCCGTCTCTCCCTACCAACCCTCCACCGCCGATTGCCTAATTTTCGCCAACTACATCATTGGAAAAAAGTTATTTTCACTGTTTTTCAGTTTAATATACCTATTCTCAGTCTAATTTCTCCACCTAAGATATCAATTTTCACTCTAGGATTATCTATTTTTCAGTCTATTTTCCATCTATGGTATTCAAATAAGGTGCCCCATTGGACTTTTAGCTATACAAAATATTTAGAAAGGGAGTTTCCCCTAAAGTATGATAATCAAATATGGTGTATATTATTATATTCTAATATGTATGGACGAGTCTTGGATTAAGTTTGGCCATTTTTTTTAAACTACAATGAAAACACAACTTTATTTGCATTATATATATATATATATATATATATATATATATATATATATATATATATATATATATTAGTAAGTTTATTTTAAATTTGTGGTCTTAGCTTCTTGACATCTTCGTCACCTTTATCTTTTAACAGTATGTGTATTTCAATTAAAAAATAATAATTTGAAGTAGCTCCAAGGTGGTGTTTGCAAAAGCTTTTTGAAAGTGATTATGAGGTTTTTTTGTTCATAATTTGTTTTCAGGTGTTTGCAAAATCAACTTCTGCTTTTGCTTCTCTTAAAATAATCTGCGTTAAGCTATTTTTTTAAAAGCACCCCTAGCCCTGTTTTTTCTATTTAAGTTCATTTTTCGGAATATTTGCAAACACCCCCAACTTTTATAAAGCACTTAAAACTGACTTAACTCACAATCACTAACTTCTGCTTTTAAATAATCATGATAAGTGATTTATGTTTCTCTAGGGTCACACAAATCACAATTATTTCCGGTTTCCTTTAGATATGCAAATTTGGATTGCATTTTGACCCTGAAAATATCATGAATTGGCGTTTTGCACACTTCAATTTTCAAATTGGCAAATTTCACCCTTAAATCGCGCCATATAATTAACTCTTGGTTAAAATTTCACAAGAAACAGTTGTAAGGTGCATTTTGCTAATACGAAATATGCAATCTAAGGGTGCATTTTGCCAATTCCAAACTTTTAAGGGCGCAAACCAATAATCCCTACAATTATTGGGTTAATGCTCAATTTCATAGAAAATCCAAAATTTTCAGCCCAAAGTATTGAGACTAGGTTTAATCGACAAACTGGGCCAAACTGATTAATTGCGACAGATAAAAAAAACCTAGGCCCATGCAAAAACTTATGCATAAATAAAGAAAAATCATTTATTTTCAATTATAACGTGTTAGTTACCATGCAAAAATAAAATAAATAAATAAGTAAAAAATCTCTTTAAATGAAAAAAATAAATTAAAATAGAATTAGCAGAAACAAAATAGAAATACATTAGCAAAGCTGAAATTGCATGTGGGGACTAAAATCAGTTTAATTTGTTGGGAGCAAGTTGCCAAATTGAAGCAAGATCAGTAGTTGCCCATTATATTCACTAACTCAACAAACATACTGTTCGTTTTCACAGTGATTATTATGCCACCTTATACTATGCATTATTATATTCTGACTCGATTTTATTTTTATTTTTATTTTTATTTTTATTTTTATATTTTCTAACGTGCCCTTATAAAACACGCGTTGAAGTGCATTTATAAGTGTGTTCAACGTTCATTCGGGTTTTTTTTTTTTTTTTTTTATATATAGAATCTGTTTGGCTAAGCTTATTTTAAAGATTAAATTTTAATGTGTTTGGATATAAAACTTATAAATATTTTACTAGTTTATAAGCTCTTAAACATATAATAAAATGCTTTTAACAGCCTAAAAGCTTAGCCAACAAACATGGCTCTTAATAGATTTGTCTGAATTTATAACTCCAATTTAAATCCCCTAATTTCCATTAGAGTGTGCTATGAGCCTATGATGATTATAATTACTAGTAATTAATATTGTAGTTAAGCCCATTTGACTAAAATTAGAGTACAAATAAATACTAATAAATATGTGATTTAAGCAGGTAGATGGAGTATTAAATGTACAGATGGGCCCACACCACCTATTAATTAGTCCTTTTCTCAGCACCCTGAAACTAGTCTACGAAACTAATAGTAATTGATAAATGCAGATTAATTTTCAACCAATAAATAATGAATTATAAATATTTTACTATTTGAAAACCCAATAATGCCCTTACTTCACTTATTTCATGACAAATTTAACTTTATTTTCTGTTTTCACATATTTTGTCAATATGGAGGTTTTTGGCTAATTTTTATTTGAAGGGGGGAATCGTGCGGTTAGGCCTTTCACTGGGGTAATATTTGCGATTCACAATCATTCACTAAGCGCACATACACATTGTGTGTAATTAATTATATACAGATTTACAGTACTTAGCAGTCGTGCAATGTAAATAACTTGATCTAGCATAAAATCTTCCCGTATCAAGAGTCAACACGACACCATCTCAACAGTCAACACACGATTAAGTTCAAAAAGTCAATAAGTCAACACACCCACTAGCTTGTCTTGTCCCTATTTATTGTGCTTCCTCATATAGGACTTATCTTATATCTTCTAAAATGATAATTTGAAAAAAAAAATAAAAAAAAAATAGAAGTTGAAAATAAATATATATGTAAGTGATGGGCCCAAGCCCAAAGACTAGTATGGACACATTTATAGAAGTTAATGGCGTGGACCAAAGTTGGTTCAACTACAAATTAATTACCACATTTTAAATAATTAAGTTTATGATTAACAGTGATGAAGACAACATAGTTGTATAGCCGCCCCCAATATTTTTCAAAATCATATTAAATTATATAAAGTAAAAAAAAAATCGTATACAAAAGTGTTATCGAGCCCCTTCATATGTATTTTAGTGCATTCGCCCGTGTACTTCAAATCACTTAAATTGGCTAGAATTCAAACAATTGGGTCCATATAATTATTCATGAGAAGTACGTTGTATACCATATAAACTTCGAAAATGCGATATAATCATTTTTATAAATTTCAAGTAGTCTCTAAATTCTCTTATCGTGAACTTATTTGAATGTGAGAGAGCAGTCTAATTAACCAATGAGTGTGAAATACGAGGACGTGTTTAAAAACGAGTCTAAATAAATTATCGAAAAATCGTTATATTAGTGTTCACTGGAATGCTATTAAAGCATATAATAAGAGTAGCTTAATTATCATGTGATTGTAGGTGTTTGTTTACTAAACATGCATGTGAGTGATTTAATTAATCGCCATCAACAAATTAATTATGATTAAACATTTCAAAAAACATAAAATCATTAATTTTGTTTTCTAAAACTAGGAAACCTAACCACCTAATTATATCATGAACTTGGAGCCCCTTGCTTAAAATACTCGTGTAATTATGTAGTCTAGAATTGGCTCAACCACACGTAATTGTCATTAGATGTGAATGTGATTCAAAGATTTTACTTAACTTCACATTTTATAATAAGTAAAAAAAATAAAAAAAGCTTGTCGCCTCGTTCTCACTGTTATATACTATAGTATTCACTCCCGTCACTAGCGGAGCCAGAATTTTAAGTTTAAGGAGCCGAACGCATTAAAAAAAATCTTATAGGAGAACATTAATGTTATTATACACATTTTTTTTAAATATTTATACATAAACTAATAGGAATTTGAGCCCCCTCATTTCTATGCTAGCTTCACGTCTTGAAATACCAAAACAAGTTCTAACGTATTTACTATAAATCATTTAGGTTAAAATGTATAAAATGACATAACTTTGTTCCTTATTTTTCTCTCTCTCTCTCTATATATATATATATATATATATATACTCCCTCTGTTCCTAAATAAGCGTCGTTTTTCACCTTGGCACAAATCTTAAGAATCTCAATCAATATGTCTTAATTTTAGGAAAATAGATATTGATGGACCAAAACACCCTTGTTTATTAATTAATGCAGGAAGAGTTCTATAGTCTTAATAAGGGTAAAATTAAAAAAATAGCAATTAATGCGGAATTGTAAAGTGACAGATAAAATGGAACAAAAAAAATTCTCAAAAGAGACAGATATTATGGAACAGATGGAGTATATATATATATATATTGAGATTCTAATACATATATTAATTAATTTGGAGAATTAATTAAATGTAAACTAGTGTATTTCTTGTAATTAATTTAGAGGATTATTAACTTGGGCATGTTCTATATATTAAATATGATTGAAGTTCTAATAATTTGTTTGCTTAAAGAAAAAAAAAATTGAAAAAAAAAAGAGTAATATTGAGTGAAAATGCCAGAAGAGAAAAAGATGTCACAAAGTTTGACATATGCGAACTTGTTTCTCATAAATGCAAGAAATTAATGGCGGTTTTGAAAGCTAACCAACTGTACAAACCCAACTTCGCTGCCCGCATTTACTCCCACCCAAAACCTACCTTTATCTCCACCACCTTAAATACTCCATTCTTCCTTCACTCCATTCTCACCACCACCTTCCTACAGAAAATAATTAATAAAATAATAATATAATAATAATGGCTAATATGGCCGGAGGAGAGCAAGAGCTTCTGTCGACGGAAATAGTCAACCGCGGAATCGAGTCGTCGGGTCCCGACGCCGGGTCGATGACGTTTTCCGTCAGGGTTCGTAGGAGGCTGCCGGACTTTGTTAACTCCGTTAACTTGAAGTACGTGAAGTTGGGGTACCATTACTTGATCAATCACGGCGTTTACCTGGCGACGATACCGGTGCTGGTTCTGGTTTTCGGGGCGGAGGTGGGAAGTCTGAGAAGGGAGGAGCTGTGGCGGAAGATCTGGGACACCACCGCCGGATACGATCTCGCCTCCGTCGTCGCTTTCTTAGCCCTCTTCGTATTCACTCTCTCCGTTTACTTCATGTCTCGCCCTCGCTCCATTTATCTTCTTGATTTTGCTTGCTTCAAACCCACCGATGATTTCAAGGTTATTTTCCAAATTATTTCCTTTTTTTTTTTATTCGGATCATATAAAAAGCATGCATTTTTATTTATTTATTTATATTGATTATGGAATAAAAGAGTTTTGTTTGTTTGTTTGTTTTTTTTTTTTTTTTTAAATTTAAAAAAAATGGGATTGTATGAATGAATTGGAATGGGGTAACTCTTGTTATATAGATTTGTTATGATAGCTAAATGATTTCATGATTTATATAGATTGTAGTGGTGGAAATTTGGATCGGAATTCGAAAATTCCAAGTTTTTTTGGGTGTGAAAACTAATTCCTATTGTGTTTGGATAGATTTCGAAAATCGGAACTTTCGAAATTTAGAATGAAAAATATTGTTCTGTGATAAAAAAAAATATTAAGATCGAAATCGGGAGTCGGAATTTCGGTTTCAATTTTCGTAATTTTTGGCTGATTTTGGTAAAATAAAAAAGGGGTGATTTTGATTTTGGCTGATTTATGTTGAAACATGAAAATCTGATGAGCAATTTTTAATCATGATTTTTTTTTGAATAATAAATTAAATGATATTCATGTACGCAGGTAACGAAAGAGGAGTTCATCGAACTAGCCCGGAAATCGGGCAAATTCGACGAAGAAAGCCTCGAATTTCAGAGAAGAATCCTCGAATCCTCCGGCATCGGCGATGAAACCTACGTTCCGAAATCCATCGGCTCGCCGGAAAACACCGCCACCATGAAAGAAGGCCGCGCCGAAGCCTCCGCCGTCATTTTCGGAGCACTGGACGAGCTCTTCGAGAAAACTCAGGTCCGGCCAAAAGACGTCGGCGTCCTCGTTCTGAACTGCAGCCTCTTCAATCCGACGCCGTCGCTCTCCGCCATGGTGATCAACCACTACAAGATGAGGGGAAACATCCTGAGCTTCAATTTGGGCGGGATGGGATGCAGCGCCGGCGTGATCGCCGTCGATTTGGCGCGTGACATGCTTCAGGCAAACCCTAGCAGCTACGCCGTCGTGGTGAGCACGGAGATGGTTGGGTACAATTGGTACCCGGGGAAGGACAGATCTATGCTAATCCCGAATTGCTACTTCCGGATGGGCTGCTCCGCCGTGCTGCTCTCCAATCGCCGCCGCGACTACGGCCGCGCGAAGTACAGGCTGGAGCACATAGTGAGGACGCACAAAGGCGCCGACGATCGGAGCTTCCGCAGCATCTACCAGGACGAAGACGGCGAGAAATTCAAGGGGATAAAAATCAGCAAGGATCTGGTCGAAATTGGGGGCGACGCCATTAAAACAAACATCACCACATTAGGGCCGTTGGTTCTGCCGTTGTCGGAGCAGCTCCTCTTCTTCTCGACGCTGATCTGGAAGCTCCTCTTCGGCGGCGGCGGCGGCAATTCCCCGCCGGCGAAACCCTACATCCCGGACTACAAGCTGGCGTTCGAGCACTTCTGCCTCCACGCCGCCAGCAAAACGGTGCTGGACGAGCTCCAGAGGAACCTGAAACTGAGCGACGAGAATCTGGAGGCGTCACGCGCCGTGCTGCACAGATTCGGAAACACCTCCAGCAGCAGCGTGTGGTACGAGATGGCGTATCTGGAGGCGAAGGAGCGGGTCAAGAGAGGGGACCGGGTCTGGCAACTCGGGTTCGGGTCGGGTTTCAAGTGCAACAGTGTGGTGTGGAAATCGATGCGGAGAATCAGGAGGCCGTTGAGGAATCCGTGGCTTGACTGTGTGGAGAGGTATCCCTCTCTGCTGGAATTTCAGGGATGAATTTGTTATTTTATTATCTTTTGGGGTTTGTTTAATTAATTTAAATTGTTTGGCATTTGTCTACCAAAAAAAGAATACAGGTTTATAGAGTTTATTTATCTCACAAGGGGAATTGCTTTTTTCAAATTTTCTTTTTTATTTTATTGCCTTTTAATTCGTATTGGTGTAATTGGTATGAAACTCTAATTCAGGAATTATTGTTCGGTAGACTCTAAATATTATGTGGAATATGTATTTCATGTACCACAAATCATAAGTTATATTTTGTATAAATGAAATTGGCCTAGAAGTAATAATAGATGAAAGCATGGGTAAATTAATTGGGCTGGAGGCCCAAGAAGCGTTTTATGTGAGCTTGAAAAACCACTACAGAAAAGGTCGCCAAGACATTTCTTGTTTGTCGGAAAAAGAGGTCGTTGTCGCAACGTCGTAAGGGGCGAGCAGGAATGCGTAGATTTTGGGGGATCTATTATACGAAGATAAGGAAAGAAGAGACGTGGATCACTGATGATTTTAGCTAGATACGTGTATATTTAGAATAATGAAATACGTAGGAGAACTTTATATAAAAACATTTATAAATCCTAGTTAGTTACGTTTGTACGATAATAACAATATTCTCTGCTAAAACTCTCTCAGATAATTTTTCATACTTTGTCCATTGCTGCATCGCCGCTAGCTCAGAAACCAGACGTGTGGTGAACTTTCCGATGACGAAAGGAGTAAAGTTTAGTATAAGGTCTTGAGAGTCGTATATATATCAACTAATAAATTCGATAAATTAAAAATGATAAATATTGGAAGTGCCGGGTCCAAGCCCAAATACTTTTATGGACTCACTTAGTGAGATGCCCATCTATAAATTTATTATTTTTGTAATTATTTGTTATGGATCCAATCTATAAATTCAAATTGGCATCAATGTGAACAATTAATCTGGCCCCGATTATAAAGTCTTGTGTTTATGAGAAACACAACTTATTTGAGGGGGCGACCGAGTTTGGCAACTCGGGTTCGGGTCGGGTTTCATTTGTACTCGTGTAATCGATATGTAACTCGAACTCATGACTCTTTGTACGGTCGACTCGCTCAATTCACACACTACAGCTCAAGAAAGGAAAGTACAGACCATGCTAACAAAAATGTACGACAAAACGACTCAAGACATAGATTAAAACTTCATCGTCTCAATGAACAAAAACCGTAGAGAGATAGAGGAATCTAATAACTTAATCAACTCATATATTTTTTTTTTCAGTTGCCTGTTTCGTTACACATACAGGCAAGTCTTATTTTGCAGGAGCTTACAAAATAAAAAAATAAATTTAAAAAAATAAAAATAAAAGATCCAGGTGCCACTATGGATGGGCGAAAATAGAACTAAAAAAAAAAAAAGGAAGGCCGCCAACGATTTGATTATTATGAGAAAAAAGAACAATCAATCTTCCTCAGGCTAACCAGTCCCCATCCATTCCTTCAATTTCTTCAATCTCCATGCTGCATTTTTTCATAACAGATTCCGAATTATAAATAAAAAATAAAAAATAAAAAAATCGTCATCGTTCGGAATATATAAAAAAGGTTAATTTTCTTACCATGGCAGAGCAGGATCTTGGAAGTAATTGTCGGAGCAAAAATCATTCACGTGCTGCAAACAGCTCTCGTTTGCATTGAGCCAATCCGGGAATTCGACAGCTTCGTCGAACGGACAGTTCGAAAAATCCCGACCACCACCACCTTCTTCTTGATTCTCCGGCGAGATTTCCATAGCCTTCAAGAACTTGAACCACCACGCCGAATTCACTAAATTCAAGGTATCGTTCCACTCCATCTGATATTGCTCCCCGATCGACCTAATCTCAGCCATCTCGTCGTCGTCCATCGCATGATGCAGACCGGAATCACCGAATTCCGCCACCTCAGCTGGCGGCACTCCCGTGTACTGAATTTCATCGGTAGCGGCTGAAAAGGGAGAAGAGGAGGTTGATGGGGTTGAAGCGGAGTAAATTGATGAAGGGTTGGTGGAAGCAGTGTAGTAAAAAGTCGAGTCCATGTTGTTAAAATCTTGAAGATTGAGATTGAGGTTCAGGCCAAGTGTTTGGCTAGGGAGTATGAAATTGAGGTTTTCTTGGATATAAGGTGGCTGCAGTGGCGGTGGCGGTGGCGGCGGTGGTGGTTGTGCAATTGAGGAAATAGGCCAAGAATAAGGAGAAGGGTGGTAGGGTAGATTTTCGAGATAGCCAGGTGGGAAATTATTCGAAGTTGGAGAATTCGAAGCGTAAACTCTCGGATTCCTACGAGACTTTGATTTGGCTTCCTGTTCTTGAGTTGAAAGTTGATGAATTTCCGGCCTCGACTCGATTTGCTGCTGCTGCTGGTGGTGCTGTTGATTCTCGCCAGCTTGTTTCATAGCGGCCCGATGGAATTTGAGAGCAGTGACTATTTCTCGTCGGGCTTCGGCCATGTTCAGCAGCCTTTCTTGGTAAGGCCTGCTTGTGTGGAGCCTTCTTCTGACTTGCTTTTTGTGCTGCTGAGGTGGCTGTGATTTTTCTTGTTTCTGATCGGAAAATCCATCACACGTCGAAATTCGAACCCCCTCCAAATCATCGAGCTCTTTCGAGCTCGACAAGTCTTTGGTTCTCGAAGACGACAGCTGTTTAACAAGACTCCGAATGTAAGCACCTGATAACTGAGGTTCTTTCGGTTTTTCGGCTTTCGAAATCTCCGTTACACCATTTTTCGACTTGGATGAAGAAGATTTCCCCCTCATTTTTTTTTTCTTTTTGAGGAAAATCTTCTTCTTTTTTGTTTTTTATTTTTATTTATTTTTCTGGGGGCCAAAGTACAGAATGCAGAGATCACAGGTCCGGATGGAGGGGTGCTCGTGGGTGCTATAAATAGCTGTCAACACACACTCTAGGGCTTTTTTTATATATATAATTCTGTTGGAATTTTCCCTATTTTGGTAAACAACTAGGTTTCATAATTATTTCTTGATTGTTTTTATTAATTTATTGTGGGGGGTGGAGGAAGCTAATGAATGGGTAGTTAGAATTCGATTTGGTCTTATAGATGCTACACCGGTGAAATACATCAGGTAGTTTTTTCACGTTTCAATTACACACAAAATCACACATATATGCATATGGATGTGTGTAAGAATGTGAAATTCACCGAGTGTAGGATCGAACAAACGAAGAGGTTTCGCAGTTGATTTTGCCCGCTTACATTATATATTTTTCTTACATAGTCAACAAATTCTCAATCAAATAAGCAAAAAGTAAGCCAGCTGAAAATGTTACCATGTCATAAACAACTGCTTTTAACTGTTTTTTTTCTTTTCTTTATGAGTTAAAACTAAATGAAACAGAATGGAACAGCAAATATTTTATATTTTGTGTGCAGTAACTTAGTGTAATATTTTTTTTTTTAACTAAGAAAATAATGCCTATATCAATTGGACAGTCTCAAGAAACGTCAGCATGAGGTCTACAGAAACTGACAGGAGAATTTCAATTACTGTTGTAACCTCCTCTTTTGATCAATATATATATATTAAATTGCCAAAATTCTAAATAATATTATTTTAGATAATAGATATATAGATATATTATTTTTGTTATTTGATTGATTCCCTTGTCAAATTTTAAATTGCTCAGCATGATTAAAGTGAGTTGATGAAACAAAGAACTTAGACAAATTATATATAAATGATTAAAAAAAGATGGTCTGAAAAAGGACAGAAAAACTCCATACCTTGCCCTCATTGTTTGAATTCCAAATGCTCCTTTCTTGCCAAACAGCTTTCTTGGCTTACTGAGCTATGAGTGTTCTACTACAATGGCTCTGTGTCAGCACCTGTACCCAAAAGAAAATTATTAACATATTACTGTTTCTGAAACTATTTTATCTGCAGACACACTGAAATCACTTTTTTATTACACAATAAAAAAAATTTAAGGATTTAATTAATAAATGGAGAAAGGAAATGATATTAAGACAATAATATTATATTACAAGATTGTGAGGTGAGATCAATCTAAATATCAAAACATCTACATGAGTTTTAGGGTAAATTACGGTAATCTTTTGAGATAAGGTCAAATTACAAAACAAAAAAATAAAAAAAAAACTCATATTTGGGTAATTATAACCACCTCCTTAATTATGAATCTTCTTACACGTCCACCCATGTGGTGTCAAATTTAGTAGAATCTTCTAAATTATGTGGAATATTCTCCAGATTGTACCCATTTTATCTCATTCGAGCTCCAGATTTTGAAACAAGATGACCGTAAGATGTGTCTATTGATTTGTAAATACTAGATTGTGGTGCATCAGAAACTGTATTTTCACATAAAACGAGTACAAATTAGAGAACATTCCACATAATCTAAAAAAATCTTGAATTTAACACCATAAGGGTGGACGTGTAAGAAAATTCATAGTTGAAAGAATGTTGTAATTACCCAAATGGAAGGGGTTTATTCGTAATTTAACCTTACCTAGTGGCCGTAATTTACGCTAATAGTAGATTACAAGATTTTGAGGTGAGATCAATCAAAAGATGAAAGCAAAGTTTTAAATTTTATCTGATAATAAGTGAAAAGATAAGATATTTCATTAATTGTGATTACATCATCAATACTATCATCCATTGGTAAATCAATTAAAATAGCAAAAACAAAGATGATATTGTTTACTTCTGATCTGCCTCATTCAACATGCAATGTCCAATCACCTCTGCAGCACTCAGAAGCAGCTAATGAGTTCTCAGTTATCTAATTTAATCACCTTATATTTCCTAGTCATTAAATTTTTAATCATCAAATGGATAATTTCTATTTCAATTTCAATTTGTTTTGAATAGTTTTACTTAAGTAATAATCTTATCTTATTTCTGTAGCAATATATAGGAATCATAATTTACTTACTTTTTTTGTATATATATGAAATGGAGTATAATTGTAATTAACACACAATCACACATATTTACATGTGGATGAGCGTAAAATATATAGTCAATATATACACGTGTATGGTAGGATTACATTCGGTGAAGTAAATGCTACACGGCCCGTGTAGCATATCATCATAAAACGAGGACTCAATATATACACTTGGGACTCATTTGGTTGCCAAGATAGGATTAGTCGAGATAAAATTAAATAATCTAATGAAAATTCATTTTTTTTACGGGAACACGGAAGGTCCAACCAAAAGGCTCCTTAAAAGGCATATTAAAGCACGGTAACATAATATTTTCGGCTCGACCAAGGAAGTTATATATCATTAGGTTTATTCAATTAATAAGTTAATCACGACTAATCTCCCAACCAAACTAAGCCTTGGATAATAAGATTACACTCGGTGTGCAAATGCTACACCAAGTGAAATACATCAAATATCATATTATCGTAATTTACACACGTATGCACGCGCAATAGGATTGTACCGGTAAATTGAATGCTACACCATGCAACATATATTGTAAATTTATACATAATCACACACATATATACACATATACGGTAAAATTACGCCGGGATAAATTTAATGTTTTTACAATTCAAACTGACCTAAATCAAATCAATTTCAAATTTCCCAAATTAAATTTCGTCAAAGCAAGATCAAATTACGATAAACAGATTAAAGCAAAGAGAAAATTAAAGGAAAGAAGAAGTGAAAGGGAAAAAGGAAACGCGCCTGACTGCAGCTGCGCCACTGTGGATAAACATCCAAAAAACCACACTGCATTTACCCCCCTTTTTTCTTTTTTCCATTTTCTCTGATTAAAAAATTAAATAAAAATTGCTGCAGCTAGCTTCAACCAATCCGGTTGGGCCGCAGTTTTCCCCTCTGGTGGTCTCGACGAATCGCATTCCACCACCATTTCATCGCCATAACTAAATACATATCCAGACAATAAATATTCATAGCGTAGCCCCCCTCTCTCTCTCTTTGGATTCCTTTCACACCACCGTTGCGATAAAAAAAATGTCTGTATCTCCCCCAATTATTATAATTTAATAATCGTTGAGAGAAATTACAAATGGATCAAGTTGCGAAATGTGGGGGAAAAACTGTGAATCAGAGGGTGTTAATTGATGATTCGACTGAGGGTTTTTTTTCTTTTTTCTTTTTCATTTTTTTTGGCTGATAAATATTTTTGCAGGATTTTTAAAGTGAGTGGTCTTTTCTCTACGGCTATCTGCCCCCCGCTGCATAATGGAGTGGGTCTCTCTCTCTCTCTCTCTCTCTCTTAATGTTTTATTAGGTTGAAAATTAATTAGCTAAATTATTTTTGTTGGAAAATGTAATTTATTTTTTTCCTTCTTTTTTTCAATTTAATTCAAATTTTAAAAATAACTATTTAAGGGCATGGTAGAATATATATTTTCACTTTGGGTTAAAATGTTGTTTCAATTTTTGTTGATACGGTTTTGACGTCTAACGTGATTTTGACCCTTTTTATAGTACGATTTTGGCAGAATTCAATATATATGAAATGTAGTCATTTGAGTTATTTTTCTGATCTATTTTGAATACGCTAAATATTGAATCAGCTAGATTGAATATCAGACGGAAAAGTTATGCACAAACGAACTGTATTTTGACTTTTAGTAACTCAAATCATCAAGGTCGTGAGTATTGTTGCTCGTTTCATGCATTTCTTTTTACATGACATCTAATCTGATGATTCATTCAAGTCAGCTTAGAAGGTTAATTCAAAGAACTACATAGTATTTAAAGTTTTATCAAATTTAGCTCGAAAGTTATCAAAATCACTTTTGAATTGAAACGTTATTTACTACATCCCTTATTCTTTTTATTGTTGCTATAGTACTATGCCGATTTAAAATAGCTCAAATGTTTAAAATGCAGGATATATTAAAACATTGCTTATTTTTTTAAAGAATATATATAAAAATGATTATAATTAAGAGATATAAAGTATAGTATTTAAAACATTTATATTTATTGTATAATTAATTAAATAGAAGGATGCATGGTAGAGGGGTGGTGGTCCCTTAATTGCTGTGAGATTAGTTGTGATAATTAAATAAGTATGAAGATAAGACAAGCAAAATGTGTGGTCCAAATTTCAGGTAGCTTCTTAAGTCTATGTTTTGATCCTTTTTTACAGTTGGAGTTATTTCCCGGTTTACTTTTCTGCATATTTGCCAGCTGGATCTAGACTTGTCCAACACCTTCAAATTTCAACTTTTATTTTAATAATAAATAAAAATTAAAGAAAATAAATAATTAGGAATTGGTAAATAAAAAATAAAAATGGAATTGGAAGAAAGAGTGGTGGGACCAAGTGGGGAAAGACAGAGGGGTGGGTGGGGCCCAGATGTGACGAGTCAGAAAGGATCAAAGGGGTAAGCTGAAAGGTGGGAAAGGGGCTGAGCCGTCCAATAAGAGAATTAATCACCTATCGGCCTGCACCCCCACCCCAATTCTGCCAGCCCAATTTGCAACTTTTTTTTTCCGGTCCAGTATATACTATGTAGCAGTGTTCTAAAAATCGATCGACGCGGCCGATTAATCGGTGGTCGAGGTGGAGGTGGTCCAAAATATTTACGATTTTAGTATAAAAGTTTGAAAAATCGTTTTTTTTCTTCTTGTGAGGTGGTTTGAGGCGATCAAACCTTTAAGGTGGGTCAAACTTCAGTGGCAAAAATCGGTTACCGATTTCGATTTATCCATTTTTTTTGGAACGAAATTGGAATTGTATATAAAATTCTCATAAATTCTGATTTTTGTTCCAAATAATATTTAGGATATATTACACCTGCACCCTTGAGATATGCTAAAATAACTTTAAGGTCCCTGTAGGATCGGTAATTACAATCACCCACTTGAAATATTGTCAGAAACCTTAACGGAATAACGCATTGGATAAGTTATTCCGTGATGATTCTAACAGACTATTAGTTTTAGACTGTGGTGGAGACAACATAGAGCTAGAAGGTGGCACGATTCTCCTAACATTTCTTAAATCCTTATCATTTTATATAAGATTTATAAATTTCCGTCCATGGTAGCATTAACGGCCACGTGAGAAACAAATATAGTGCATTTCATTACCCAGAAACAAATATGTAATTACATATATCATAAGAACCCTAGAGTTAGTTTAGCATACTGTAGGCGCAATTTACCTTAATATTTAAGATGGTCAAATGTAGACAACAAAAGTATTTTGACTAAAGAAGATATGTTTGAGAGCGGTTGGTATGAATTAAATGAATAGGTAAGGGAGGTGTATTAGAGTGTTGCTAAGGTCACTTTCCGGTATTAGTGGGGGTACCTTTGGTTTGGGACCATCTCATATTTTCTAGTTGCCCCACCTACATATATATATATATATATATATATATATATATATATATATATATATATATATATATATATATATATATATATATATATATATATATATATATATAAGAATATAAAAAAGTTGAATTTGGAACTCCATGTTACATATATTGTAGGCCAACTTACCCATATAGCATGCTTTATACTATTTGGAACTCCATTTTATAACATCAATTGTGTCCATCCTGTGAGGATTTTGGGCTGAGGCATGAATTATTTCAAAATTGGGCCCAATCCTCTTTTAGTATCTTCTTCCTCAGAACTCGATCCATCTTTTGTATTTTTGTTAGTAAAACGTTTACTTCTAAACGAGTACCCAACACGTCCGCGCAATGAATACTTACGGTATAGCCCGTCGAGCGGAAATGATGAGCTGGCTGGGCTTGCTATTTTTGAAAATTTTAATTGCAATAAACAATGGGCTGCGTACAATTGCTTCTTAATGGGCCTTCTATGAAAACTTATATTTCTTGCCTAATCTTTAAATTACCCGCCAAAACTACCGGTATTTACTAATTCAGTCGAGCCAAACACATATATGTTTGTTCAAGTTTTTCTAAAATTTTATCTACCCCTGCAATTACATTCGAGTTTGGTTTAATAAACAATCGAGTCGAACTCCAACAAACTCTAATTGAGCCGAACATAACTTCAGTGTTATCAAACCATGCTTTTATAATCTCGAATCGAGTAACTTCGTTAGATTTTCATACTAGTTTCAAATTATCTTCGTAATTTTATCCTCGTTTTCGACCTGATTTAAATCAAATACACACCGGCCATCACAAATTCATGAAGAAACGAAATAACAATTTAAATGAATATTGTAGAAAATTAAAAGCTACAAAAAACAAACACACACACAAACAAATAAGAAATGTCTAATTGACAGAAGCTTCAATCCTAGGCTCAAAAGACAATGCAGAAGCAAACTCTTTGGCTTCCCCGCCATTTTCGTAAAACTGCGGTACTTCAACCCATTCATTTCCGACCAAATCACACATCACATAACAACACATTTCACCGGAACTCACGCACACAAACATCTTCCCGCCACCGCCGCCGCCGCTGCAGTTTATGTCCGCCTTCTTGCTGTAGAACTTGTGCGACATGTGCGGCGGCATCGCCGCCACCTGCCGCCAAGATTCGATCTTCTCATCCCAACTCCACACTCGAACACTGCAACTTTCGAGGAAATCACAGAGCAGAACCACGTACATCTCCCCGCCGCACTCGACTAGATCGATCGAGTACTCGGAGAAAACAGGGAGAAGCCTCGGGTACTCGGAGAATTGGCGGCGCGTGAGGTTGCAGGCCACCACCGTCCCGGATGAGCTCAGGAAGTGGAGAATTTTGTCTCCGGCGGCGCGTGAGATTGTGAGGACTGATGAGTATTGCTTCGACGGGCTCCTCTGGATTTCCGGCGAGACAACGTTGCCGCATTTGCTCAGGAAATACTGTGTGCAGTCGTCGTCGCTTGCTTCCGATTCAACGGGGCTGCTGCTGCTCTTGGTGGCGGACTTTCTTGTGAGGGAGATTTCCTCCTCCCATTGATCGGCGCCGGAGTTGTACTGCCGGAATGTGATGTTCGGCAGCTCGCCGGAGACTACGAACACCTTGAAAGTTCCGGTTTTCGATGACGTCATTGCTATCGCCAGAATGGGTGGATGCGGGGTCGGGAGTGACGTCAGCTGGTGGCACGCGCCGGTGACGGGGTTGGTGACGATGAAGTCTCCGGCGGCGGTGTTGCTGTGGAAGCAGATCAAGCCGCCGGAGGAGGCAACCGGAATGAAATCGACGGCGGAGAACAGAGGCGGGCGGTTGAGCTTCTTCCAGTTCCCCTCCGACGAATCGAAGGCTATCGAACTCTGGGGTTTCCGAGAATCCACCATGAAGAACCAGGGTTCACGGGCCGGAACTTGAGAGCAGGCCCGCCGGAAAGTGGCGGAATCCGCCGTCGACTTCCATCTCTTGCAGACGGAACTGAGGCGGAGGAAGGAAGAGGTCGGCAGCCATGAGAGAACCCTCTCAAGAAGGTCTTGATTGAGCTCGTTCAATGGAAATCTTGAAATCTCCGGCGACTTTCTCTTGTGACTTGTTCGGACAACAACAACAACGTTGTCATCTCCGACAACCTCCATTAAAGCAGAGTGTGTGTGTGTGTGTGTGTGTTTGGGTGTGTGGAGAGGGTTAATTTAGCTATGGTGAAGAAAGTGTTGTATGGAGAGATAGTTTTATACTGTAGACAAAAATGGAGTTGACAAAGAGTAAAGTGAAAGGGGTCTCATTGACAAATTAAAATAATATATATAATATAATATAAATAATATGTTTATATAAAAAGGAAATGATTAATAATGTGTCACGGGTGGGGGGTGGTAGGAAAAAGAAAAAGCCGAAAAGGGGTTGATGAGCAAGGAATTCAATTCCTACGAGGAAAAAGGGAGGGGCAAATCCTAATTATATGAAGGTTTATTTTATTATTTTATTATTTTATTATTATTATTTTGGCTGACTTCTTTAATTTGACAAAGAAAAGAAGACAACATAGGGACCCTATGTTTACTTTCTTTTGTTTCCCATTTACACTTTACAATATTAAATGATTCAGGCTGTGAATATGTTGCTTTTTTTTTCCTTTTTTCTTAAGCTAGTATCAAATTACAAAAATACCCCTCTTATTTGGGTACTTACAACTAACTCCATAAATTATGAATATTTTTACACGTCCATCATGATGTTGTCGAATTCAACATAATCTTCTAGATTTCGTGAAATGTTCTTCAGTTTTTACTCGTTTTGTGGAAAAATGCAGTTTCTGATGCATCACATCTGATGCTTGCAAGCCAAAAAACATCTTATGATCATCTTGTTTTAAAATGTGGAGCTCGAATGAGATAAAATGGGTACAAACTCGAGAATATTCCACATAATCTAGAAGATTCCACTAAATTTGACACAACAATATTAGTAGACATGTAAGATGATTCATAGTTGATGGGTGGTTATAATTACCTAAACATTAGAGTTTTTTTTTTTTTTGTAAATTTAACATAACTAGTTATTAATTAATTAATAAAAAAAAACATTTCACTCGATGGTTGCTTAAATCATTTCTTGATTAATACAAGTTTTAAGGTTTTTTCTTCCCCAAAATTAAATAGGAGTGGCTGACTCTCTGTTAAAGTGAAAGGTAAGTATTTCTATTTTCATGTAAAAATAAAAAAGAAGAAAAGATAATTAGGTGAAAAAAGAAAAAGAAAAAGATAATATATATAATATTAATGCATGTGTGTATGAGGAGGAATCTAACCCTCGTGTATGCAAAATTTCTTTTGAGTATTCTAATGTAGTCAGATGTTGAAGTCAAATGTGAGCAGCCTAGCTACTATAGAATCCAAAGCTCTGACTTTTCCTTAATTATGTATTTATTTATTTAATTTGTTGCTTATTAATTAATAATAATTCAAATAATAATAATAAAATGGCTTTGGATGCTCAAGGTCAGAAAAATGGTTAATTAATTAGCAAAAAAGCCATGAATTACGCCATCTTTTCTCGTGTGACAGATACTATTAGTGTTGTGTTATCGAGATTAATGCAGGTTTTAGGCTTTTGGCTGCTATACATATGTATGTATTTATAAAATTTAGGAAAAAAATATGTATTATATATATTGCACCCAATTATATCTTATGGGCATAAAAATATTATTTTCAACAATTGTAATCTTCTAATAACTTATGGTTTAAAAAAACCTCCACCTCACCGTAATTACTAGAATCCTTCCCGAAATTTGTTTATATCTTACAGAGACCGTTTTATTGTGTAATTTTTCACAGATTGTAGGGAATATTCTTCAAAAATGCCGATTTTACACCTAAGAACAGTCTCTTAGATGTACGTGATTTTGGTATACCTTCTACAGTAACCTCATTTTCTTCATCATCACATACACTTCTCGAATTGCTAATATGAAGCATCATGGCATACATAAGCAGTTTTTTCAATCATTTGTGCGTGACTATCTTCAATCGGTTCCAGGTTTGCAGGGATACAGTCGGTATTTTTCGTAAAATATTCCCTGCAATGATTTTTTTTTTTGTGAAAAATCACACTGTAAAGGAGTCGGTGTAAGACGGAAACAAATATTGGGGGAATTTTGATAACTACTAATAGGTACGGGTATTTTACGTAAATTAGCCTAAATTTAGAGGGATTTGCGTAATTTACCCAATTATTAAATAGTACATGTATCATAAAGTTAAATTGGGCCACATGAAAATGGATCTATTGAGATATTTATGAAGCGTGCAAGCCCATCAGAGAGTTATGCCGGTTAAATTAGAGCCCAACAATTGTGCTTTAATAGATTTAATTATTACATCAATTGGGCCTTTGTCACAACATTGAATATAATTATTCTAGCCCAACAATGCAATTAACTCGTAATTAGGATTACATTGCTAACCTTATAAACTTCTAATTGTCCTTGTCACAATTTACATTCCACAAATTTGAAAGCGTCAAAAAGTCCCGTAAGAGATGGCTCAACGGTTAAGCAAACGAGCATGTATCAATTGACTGAAAGTCAAATACCTTTTCCCAAGATCATTAGGTTGAGCTTGTCGCACGTAATTATACACGAGTGTAGATTATGATTGACTGGGAATTCTTAAATAGAAAAATAAGATTAGCGTAAAACCAAAAATGTCAACGTACAAATGTATCAAGTTATAGATAAAGTCAAAGTTCATCCCAATTTAGTACATGCTATACATCATGCAGACCATAATTCATTTAAAAAAAAAAACATTCATGTTGGTGTCTAAATAGACTGATGCACACGTCATTATATTATATTTATAACAACATCGAAATTTATTATTAATTTTCTTGGTTGGCAGCATCGATTGAAAAAAAATAATTAAAAGCTGTGAAATGTGTCATGATCCATTGCATATACATTACGCAACAAAGCAGGCCACACTCTAAATTGTAAGATTTTATTATTATTATTATTATATATATATCTATATATATATATACACACATTTATTGAATTTTTCTATGATATTTATTTTTACGAAAAAAAATAGTATGAATCGGATTGATGTCAGCTACATAAAATTCCAGGTTGGAATAATAAAAGTAGTGCCTTATAACTTTCATATTTTTCAAAGACTCATCCAATTTTCATAATATGGATAATATTATTTATTAATATCTTGATTTTATATTTAATTACAACCCACATCTACATATAATTGTGGCCAACTGCAAAATTAATAGACAAGAGATTGGATCTATTTGTTCTATGATTCTTGATTTTTTTTCATTTTTTTTTGAATTATATTAACTGATATTGTTGAAATATTGAAAACCTGGCTTCTGTAATAGCAAAAATGGTAGGAAACAAGAAAATAGTGTTCGAAAAATACGAAATGGGGAAGCTTCTAGGTAAAGGCACGTTCGCGAAGGTGTACGTTGCGAGAAACCTGTCGACGAACGAGTTCGTGGCGATTAAGGTTATCAAGAAAGACGAGGTTATCAAAGACGAGAGAATGATGGAGCAGATCATACGCGAGATCTCCGTCATGCGCCTCGTCCGCCACCCGAACATCGTCGGCCTTAAAGAAGTTATGGCCACCAAGTCCAAGATTTTCTTCGTCATGGAGTACGTCCGCGGCGGCGAGCTCTTCGCCAAGGTGGCGCAAGGCCGCCTCAAGGAGGACGCCGCCCGGTCGTACTTCCAGCAGCTCGTCAGCGCGGTTGACTTTTGCCACAGCCGCGGCGTCTTCCACCGCGACCTCAAACCCGAGAATCTCCTCCTCGACGAGAACGGTGACCTCAAGATCTCCGACTTCGGCCTATCCGCCCTCCACGAGCATTCCCCTAACGCCGCCTCTCATTCCGGCAGCGCCGGGAGCAAGCTCCTCCACACCCAGTGCGGGACGCCGGCGTACATCGCACCGGAGATTCTCGCACGGAAAGGCTACGACGGAGCAAAGGCGGATATTTGGTCATGCGGCGTCGTTTTGTACGTTTTGTTAGCCGGGTTTTTACCCTTCCAAGACGAAAATATCGCGGCCATGTATAGAAAGATTTACAAAGCCGAGTACGAGTGTCCGCCGTGGTTCTCGGCCGAAGCAAAACGTCTACTCTCGAGGCTGCTGGTTCCGGATCCGAGTAAACGGATCTGCATGGCGGGTATAACCCGGGTCATGTGGTTTAGAAAAGGGTTCAAAAGGCCCAACGCGTTCTCCATGCAAGAATCCATGTTCGAGAAATTCGACGAGGAGGAGAAACTCATGAAACACGAGACGATCAAGAAATCTCCGTCTTCTCCCGCCTTCTTGAACGCCTTCCAATTCATCTCGTCGATGTCGACCGGACTCTCGACCATGTTCGACGACGAGAGGCGGAAACCCGACTCCACTTTCACTTCGCGATGCTCGGCGAAAGTGATCATGGGGAAAATCGAACTTATTGGTAAGAAGTTCGGGTTTAAGGTTGCGAGGACAAAGGACTTCAAGTTGAGGCTTGTGGGCCCCGCCGAGGGGCGGAAGGGGCGGCTCTCGGTCACCGCGGAGGTGTTCAAGGTGGCGCCGGAGGTGACGGTGGTCGAGTTCTCGAAACTCGCCGGCGACACGTTGGAGTATATCAAGTTCCGTGAAGAGGATATTCGGCCGGCGTTGAGTGATGTTGTTTGGACTTGGCAAGGGTGACTGATTTTATTATTATCAAAATATATATATATATTTTTTTCTGAATTAATATTTGCTAATTAAGCAAATTAAAGAGAGTTAATTTTATTTGATCAATATTGATCAATTTTTTTTAAAAAATTAATGACTACCCTAATTAAGGGTTATACATGTATTAATTATTTGGGTTGTGTATCCTACAACTTATTTTTGAGTTTGTTTTGATTTGTTTGGTTCACTTGATGTGATTAATTAATGTACAACACGATGTGTATAGAATACTATATTTGAAAGATATATTCAAGATTAATAATATTTTTTTATCATCTTTTATTAATGAAATAGTTTATTGATATGAATGTTCTAGAAATATGTATGAGTTGTCACAAAAATTATAGAATGTACCTATGAATTATGATCATTGAGTTATATTAGTAAATAATTTACATTAGAAATAATTTATGTTTGGGCTTTCGGTCTTGAATTTGTCATGGCCATTTCTAGTAAGGCCCTTTTTAGTTTTTATGACTTGGCCCATACAAATTAAACGATCTACATATTTTGTATTTTACAAAAAAAAAAAAAAAAAAAAAGAAAAAAAAAAGTTTTTTTTTGAATTTCGTGCAACATTTAGTTAGTAGGAGTCTTAAAAATCAGATCGGACATTGACCCGGACAAACTATTGGATCTGGACCAGTTCAACCGGATTTTTAATTTTTATTTTATAATTATTTATATTTAATTTTATAGTAAATAAATATTTTCTTTCACACACATTATCCCATTACTAATTTTCAATTGAAAAGTAAATCAAACCTACTTTTAGTTTACACACGTAACATATCAACACACAAATATCACACCGAATAATTTCAAATATTGTAGAAATCATAATCTAAAATAATGTCTTCCGATTTCAAAGTTTTTTTTATTTTGAATTAATTTAGTTTGTCTATTAAAAACAAAAGCACAATTTTGGGGGAAAAAACCCCATTTTTTTACTCGAGTTTCAATATTACAGTTCACTGGTCCAAACCAAACCGAATAAGACAACGGTTTGCAGTTTAACCAGGTCAACCGGCCGATCCGGTCCGACTTTCAAAACACGGGTTAGTACTTAGTAGGCAAATTCTCCACGAGTACTGTTGTTGGCCAACATAGAAAAGGACAATGAAATAACCAAAGTACAAATTGACACGAAAGTATATGAACTTTCCAAATATTAGTACAAATAGTTTCTTGTGTGTGACGTATTTTTTCATGACGTCATAACACAAGCATCACCAAAATTGCATCATCTCCAATTAAGGGAAATTGGAAATTGTTTAGTCTTTTTTAAGTCATCTTTCACGACTTTAATATGGTTTGTTTGAGAAGAATTTCAATTTGGAAGTCTACGCGAAATATAGTTGTGACGTGGAAAAAAGTAAATAAAATTTAGGGTCTATTAGATATAACCCCCTTAAACATTCAAATAATAGGGGTAGATCCAAATTTAAATTTGCCATTTTGATAAAAACCCAAACTTTTCTAAATTACATAAGTACCCTCAATCAAATCCCACAAATCCCGTTACTTTACCTTTTAAAATAATATCAAATCCCTCTCTATTTTCCCGTTAAAACACTATCCCCACAAAATCACTATCAAAATCTGCAAACGTCCCAAAGAAAACCAGAAATTTATACACCGACGATTGACGATTTTCTACACTCCGAAATCCCTCCCTATTTTCCCGTCGGGTTCGCCGTTTCCACCTCCGACCGCCGCCACCTCCGTCACCGTTGTCGCCGGTGGCCAACGACGATAACAACGACATTGGCCATAAGCAACACCTCCACCATCGCCTAGTCCTCCACCACCACCACATCCGACCACCTCCACCTCCAAGACCGCAAAAAACGACCAAGACCTCCGCCGCTCCCGCATCCAAGGTCGTAACAATCAATTTAAGAGTGATATCGTCGTTGCCCGCCGTCGCCGCCGTCGTCACTGCTCCAATCTAGGGTTACTCAAATCTAGGGTTTTGATAATTCTTCGGCCCATAGTTGATTAACGAGATGCATAGTCGATTACATCTGTATTAATAGACTATCCCATATCATTTAATAGACTATTCCACTGGTATAATTTGACTATGGATCTCGTTAATCGACTATGGGCCGAAGAATCATCAAAACCCTAGATTTGAGAAGTGACGGCGGCGGATTTGTGTTTTAAAATTAATAGACTATTTCATATCATTTAATAGACTATCCCATGTATCTAATTCGACTATCGGTTTAGTTATTTGACTATTGAAAAAATAATAATATATATGGAAACTGAATAATATGTTTGTTTGAAATACTAATCAATTAGTGCAATTTTCCTTATTATATGAAAACGATTAGGGTAAATAATAATATATATGAAAAAATAATAATATATATGGAAACTGAATTATATGTTTGTTTGAAATACTAATCAATTAGGGTAATTTTCCTTATATCATGTAATAGACTATCTTATTGATCTAATTCGACTATGGATCTCGTTAATCGACTATGGATCCCGTATTATTCAACCACATAGTATATTAATAATTTCAATATAGTACATTAATCTGCTATGATAGTATATTACGGTTATAGTAGTGATATGAAATTGTGTTACAAACAATATACCACTGAAACGACAAGAACATTGAGAACAAAACCAACGTAAAGTATTCCAACATAACCAATAAAATAGTACATTAATAATCTCATAATTTCAATCTAGGGTTTTGATAAAATACATAAAACCACATCATAACACAATCAAACCAATATGTCGAGTTAAAAAACTCTAGTACATTAATAATCTCATGATAGTATAATAAAATGATAATGGTAGTATCATACGGTATTCATAATAGTATACTACTGTATTACAACGGTTTAACACTTAACCGAAGTTACCGAGCCATTACATCGTAAACACCTCTTTATAGCAACCAACCCACCAAACCTCAACAAAATCCGTACGAAATTTGCCATCGAAAAAACCTAAAATCATGAAACAAAATAAAAAATGCAGAATACTAAAAAATGATTAAATAGACTGCAAATACATTTGAATGACAATACATTAATACCATCAAAAATAAACTTTAAATGCAAAATCCATACGCTAAATTAAAAAAGACTACGAAATATATTTTAATGTACTACCGAGCACACTAAAATCGACTATTGTAAACAAATAAACCAACTATCAATATGGATCAAACTCATGAACTCGACCACAGCAGACATTTATTTCGATTATTGCATAAACCAACTACGACGCTCAAATAAAACAACTCTGGTCCGACTGCGTGAACCATCCTCTTATAACTCTGTGAATCCTCTTCCAAACAAACATCATCAGCCAAAAAATAACGATGTATATGTGACGGCGTAATTTTGTTAAAAAACGTTCTACTTAATAGAATCAAGTATCAACACAACTCTTAAAAATGTCTAACCACCGTACACGACAACCCTGGACATACAACGAAAATAAAAAACGAAAAAAAACGCATTCATACCCGCTTAACAACGTACAACAATGAACGCTCAAATCCGATCCTATTTTCACGCCGGTGAAAAAATCTTCAAAGACGATAGAAAAACGATGAAACGCTGGAGAAAATCTTCAAAACAAATTGTACACGATTTGATAGAAACGGCCAATAAACTCACGTAAATTTATTCCGTGATTTTAGGCAACATATCAGCAAATCTCATATCTCGTAGTTAAGGAAATAAATGCTGTTAAAAAATAAAACAGGGATATTAAAGGGAAATTATGTAATATATTTTGCCAAGTTGGCAAATTTGGGTGTATCTCAAAAAGTGAAAAATTAATTGGATCTACCTCATTAGAAAATATGAACAAGGGGGTTATCCCTAATAAACCCTAAAATTTAATTTCTAACCACTAAGATTTGTTGAAATTGGGAAAATTAGCTGTATGATTTGATTAGGTTCGAATTTTGTAAATGTGGAATAATGTTACAGATATATATCTTTCGATTAAAAATCTTGTAAGTGGATGACAAAACGACCTTTTAAATTGCCAAAATATTCATTATCTCTCTCTCTCTCTCTCTATATATATATATATATGAAAATGATATTTAAAATAGTTAAAAGAATAAAAATTCATTCTTAATGAAATTTTTTCATCAGCATCTGGTGACGACATATGCAATGACGAATGCCACTTTGGCCCATGCCAACAGACTCATATTTACTGGGTCAAAGACCCAGTTTAATAGCTATTTTTACGGATGTCTAATCACATTCAAATAAGGTTGGACTCGATATATTGATCTCGGCCCAATCAATAAAGTATAAATAAAACTTAAATTCATTTAATTAAGGTTCGCTTTTATTATTCAACCGACTCATCTGCTCGTATTCTTTTTACTATTACCGACTATCTGGCCTGTACAGCCGTTCGTTAGAGGGGTTTTCGCCGGATCAACCCCCGACTTAGTTCACGTGTTTTCTGTTCGCAAAATTCTTGAATTAATTAGAGTGTTTCAGGATCATCTAGCTCGTGAGCTCTTTCTAATCCGATACCCCAAATGATTTAATAATAGCATCATCATTTATCTTTTAAAATTTTTATCGGTAGTAATTAGATTTTGTGCACACCACTTCTTCAAATTATTAAAAATTTCACAGTAGTATATACTTGTGAGAAATAAATTTTAAGAAAAGTCAATATCCTTATCCAATTCAATAACTCCTACCAACCAACTAGCAAGTTATAATTTTACTAAACATATATTGATACATTCGATAAAATAATACATCGAGCAATTCTTAATCATTGATCTGCACATCATTAATCACACACGCATCCATTAATATTTGAGGAAACTTGTTTATATGCCTGTGAGAATTAGTCGGATGAAGCTTATTAGAAAAATAATGAAGTTTTCGATTTCGTCACATAATTAATATAGCTAGAGATAAATAAATAAAATTAACTCTTCTCAATATTTTTTAATAATAATAGATAAATCAATAAAATAAAAAAAACATGGACACATTCTAGAGTGTAATACAAGGATATGACTTTGTTGAAGCCTCAATTTCGTGACACTTTCCGACACATAATTAACATAGACTAGAAAGACTTGACTAAGGTATTAAGATTATTTTTTCTTATTTTTCCAACTATATATAAACATCATCTCTTATTATCCATTTTTCCATTCAGTCACTTTGATAAATATATACATATATCATATTTATATATAAATAAACTATTTCTGCAGAAAAATAAATTCCAAGAAAAAAGAAGAAGCCATAACCAGAATTCTTGTTATCTTACACAGTTTCGTGAAATGGGAAAACCGTCATCGGAAACAAATTTTTTTATCGACCTCAACGCTCAGCCCATGCAAAACCCTACCGAAACTCCGGTGCGCTAATTTTTTTCAGAATTTCTTTATATTAATTACGATGTTTTCTTTAATATAGTGCGCAACACTGATTAATCAACGTTCGTTGATTTTCCGTTTCTTGATCTTTAAGAAAGTTTTTTTTTATACATACTTTGCATAATTAATGAGTTTTGACTGCTTATTAAAAAAACAACTGGTTGTGAAGAATTTTGATTTGTCTTTGTACAATTCTTTGCCGTGTGTAATTGTACTTTGAATAACTACATTTTTGCAATTTGCAAGTACTCGTGTAAAATACGAGGATTTTGTTTGCCACATCAGTAATCAACGAACAAATTTGAAAAAAGAAATCACGATGAATATGCTGGTGAATGACTATCTCAACATAAAGTTAGTGAAGAAGAAAATTATTTAATATTAATATCTCCGATATATGCAGACCGATGATCTGATGGAGGAGCTGAGCAGGATGAAATGGGAGAACGAGAAACTCAACGACATGCTTCAAATTGTGCGCAAAGACTACAGCGATTTAATCCAAAAACAATCCGTATCGGAAAACGATGACCACCTCATTACTAATTCCAAGAAAAGAAAATTAGCCGATGAATTTCAAATCGATAATTTTAGTAATCACGGTTACTGTATGCCCAAAGAGATCAAATCAAATGTCTCGCGAGTTCATGTACGAATCAACCCATCCGATACGAACCTAGTAAGAATTTAATAATAAATTACATATATTTAATAAAAATAATAATTATAAAATACAATTTTTTTAAATAATATAACCTATAGTATATATTATGTGTAACAATTTATAAATTATACAGGTTATAAAAGATGGGTATCAATGGAGAAAATATGGGCAAAAGGTCACTAGAGATAACCCTTCTCCTAGAGCTTATTACAAGTGTTATTTATCCCCAAATTGCCCTGTCAAGAAGAAGGTGTGACATATATATAATTTTAATTAATTATTATTATTATGGAAAATTGGTAATATATATATTACAAATTAAATAATGGGAAATTTAATTTAGTTAATTTTTTTTTTGTTACATGTTTATTTATGTAATAGGTGCAAAGAAGTGCTAATGATCCATCTCTATTAGTAGCTGTATACGAAGGCCAACACAACCACCACCCCACCGGAGGTGAAATTTCAGTGGCGGCGGCGGCAGGAGGCGGTGGTTCGTCCAGCCCCGGCACAACTCCGGCGAGTCTTGATCTGACGGATCCAATAATATGTAGCAGAATGCAAAATGCTATTGCCGAGAAAATGGTTTCTTCGTTGACAAGAAACGACAGCTTCACAGCTGCGCTGGCCGAAGCTATAGCTGGCAGAATATTGAACGATGAATCGGAAGATAATTATAATGATTGTTTTTAATTCGACTTAATTAATTAAGTCTTCCGAATTTCCGCTTCTTTCTTCTTCTCAAACTCCAGTTGCTTGCAGTTTTCGTCACGAGCCCGTCGAAACATCCTCACAAAATTTAGCAAATTCGAGACAACTGCATAACAGAATAATATCCGACGACAGATTTTTTAAAATGTAATAAAATTTCTATATATTATAATAATGTTAAGAACAACAAGATAATTAATTAACACATGTTAGTTAATTAATTACCTTGTTCGAAGGTGCAACGAGCGGGATCTTCCCCAAAATAAATAGCCAACGCATCTGCGTTTCTTCCCTAAAACAAACCCAAAAAATCATCGGATTAATTACTAGCCATATCCGTCGAATCGATCGATAACTAAACCCCATAAATTTATTTAATTACCACTCCGGAATAAAGTGAAGCCAGAGATCTCACTCCCACTTCAGCCGAGACGAAAAAATCCTTCAACGTCTAAAATTTTACGGTGAAGTAACGATTTAGCTACAAGAGAACTAACAAGTCGATCGACTTAGATAATTAATTTATAAAATTAAGTCATTACCTTGCAGAAGTATTCCGACACGGCACCATCTTTTTCCGATGCAGTTAGTTCTTGCTCAACTTTTTCGAGCCCTTTTCGAATAGCTTGCATTTCCTCTGCCAAATGCTTTAGTTGAATCTGCAATCGATCGAAAATCAACATGTAAATATCACAATATTATTCTATAGAATATTCCATATATATATAAATACCTTTGTTGCAGCCTCTAAACTAACTAGGTCTTCATGAAAATCCAAGACTTCCGGCAACTTTGCAGTAAGAACCTATACATATTGATACGATAGACGAGATAAAATTAATTCGACACAACCGCCATTTTTTTTTCTTGGCAAAAATAAGTATCGGAAATGACCGATTAATACCTTACACAAATAGTGCATAAGAGTTATCTTATTGTTTCGAGCTCTCGTTTCAGTAAGTTTTAGAAGACTGTCCAGGCGAAATCCAACAGCCGAACCTGAGAAACGGAAGTAATATTTTACAGTATTAGGGAAAAAATAAAAATAAAAACTAAATTGATAAAATATCGAGTACAAGAAGTAAATTGATTTTCTAACACACCTCTTGCCGTGCCTTGATTTAAGGCATTACCCAGTGAGAGGATAGTTTGCATGATTCTCTTCAACTTTACAGAATTTCTGACCTGATTAAAAAAAAATCATTTTTTATGGGACGACACGAGAAAAAAAAAACGAGCAAAATTACTAAATTACTTGCCTCTTCAGATGCAGAATTTACTATATTCAAACTCGTACCCAAATCTGATATCTGCACGTGAAATGGACAAATTTAAAATTTTAATTAAAAAAACAGTGAAAGTTTAGTGAATAATTTCAAGAAAATTACGTATTTTCGTTACCTGAGAAAAGAAATGAATTTTAAAGGAGAAAACTCTTAGCTTCGACTCGACACGTGGGACTTTCATCAACTCCGTGAAAAACTGAAATAAAATGGGAATTAAGACAATGTTTTAAGGTTGTAAGAACGTGTTTACGAGAAACAAGAGAATAATCGTATCTATACCTGCTCACATTTTCCGAGGTTCTCCTTGTCACCTTTGTAGTTCTGAAAGAAGAAATGTAATTGTAAATTTATAAATAATGCCTCCACTAAGATTTATTGTACTTCGATAATATTGAGTGAAGAAAGTAATCGAATCACTCGGAAACAAACAAATACCTTAAGGAGTTCTATTTCGTCTTTGGTTGGACAAAATTTTATAAGATTATCGACCTGATCGATGTCCAATGCCGAGTCATCCAAAGCAAGTACCGAATTCTGTTTTTGAAGGAAAAAAAAAATCGATTTTTTTAGAGCGATAAAGCGTTGAAATTTCAGAAGTAATAAACTTTTAAGACAAGTGATTTAATATAATTATGCATGATCGTGCATTTCAAGAACAGAGATATATAGTGTAAGTTATTTCGAGGTTAAGCCTACCATCAAATCTGACAGAGGAACCTTAACTTTAGTCAGCATGATTTCACAATTGTACGCCCTTCGTAGCTCAATCTGCAGGGGGGGCGACAAACCGGAAATATAAGTAGAGAGTAAAATAAAAGTATTATATTCAGTCCAAAATAATATTTCGAGTTACCAGATGAACTTTATCAGGTCTGAGCGGCCCCGAGCCACGCCTGTTTGTTTTTCCGGGGGGGCCCACGTGATCCGAGTTCGAAACAGTGGCCGAGAAAAGACTCTCGAGTTCGGACATGTCTAACTCAGGAGCTCTAAAAAAGGAAATATAAGAGAAAATAAATTTTGTTAACAATGGTTGGTTATATATATGAATCGAAGATAGTATATATAATAACATACTTTGAAGCCTCGTCGGGTTTTTGTGCCTCAGCCCATAGGCTGCCCTGCATAGCTCTAGTGAGCTTCAACCAGTGATATGGTTTGAGGGATGTTTTCTTTAATTGGGAATTAGTCCTTGAACTTGTCCTTAATTGCAATTTTCCCTTTGCACACGAAGGAGGAGTACTAGTAGACGATGAATGCAGCTGCAAAGAAGGGCTGCTGGATTTTGATAAGCCATGCAATGACGAAGATTCCTTCTTGACGAAACTTGGAGGGCATGGCGGTGGAGGTGTTGCACATCTAGCGGTGGAAAATTTTGACGAGGCGGCAAATTGAGGTGGAGGTGGTGGTGGTGGTGATGGAGTAAGAGGAGGGACAATTGCCACATTCGAAGGTGGTGGTATTGGAGGCGGCGGTGGTGGTGGTGGTGGTGGAGTAAGAGGAGGCACAATTGCCACATTCGAAGAAGGTGGTGGTGGTGGAGTCAGAGGAGGCGCAATTACCACATTTGAAGAAGAGTGGTATTGGTGGCGGTGGTGTTGGAGGTGGAGGATGGTGGTGGAGTAAGGAGTTGA